GCAGAACAGTCTTTGCCTTAACCCCTGACAGCAGCCAGGGTTCCATAAAGAGAGGGAGGAAATGAGGGGCCCCAGGACTAGAAGCAGGCCAGACTAACTACCCAACAGTTCCTTGACAGCACATACACACTAAACAAAACAGGAACACTCAGGTGTACATCTGTCTTCACATTAACTGGGCAGGACTCTTTTGCTCTCCTATATCCCTCTTTGTTCTCATTTTGCCCATCTTTCCCACCATGGGCAATGTTTCTAATTTCTCCTTTTATCCTCATAATCATAATGCTTCCATTATTACTATGTAGAATTAACATATTTCAAAAGTCTTTAGAGGAGCACATGACTACTATATACCCAGCAATTATGCAGGAAAAATGCAAGACTGCTCTTCTTCAATCAATCCAATCCAGAGTATATGTCAATGGTTCATATAAGCAAGAAGTAGCCAGAAAGAAACTGGCACCCCATGTCCTTATCTATACTCAGAGTTGGGACTGATGGAACAAAGACATAAGCCTCAGTCATTTCAGGTTCTTGTTACCCCTTCTGTTTCCTTCCTTCCTTCCTTCCTTCCTTCCTTCCTTCCTTCCTTCCTTCCTTCCTTCCTTCCTTCTTCCCTTCCTTCCTCCCTCCCTTCCTTCCATTCATTCATTCATTTGATTCTTCTGTTTCCTTCCTTCCTTCCTTTGTTCCTTTCAAGATTTATTTTTAATTTGAAAGAGTTACACAGAGAGAGAAGGAGAGGCAGAGAGAGAGAGAAAGAGGTCTTCCATTTGCTGCTTCACTCCTCAAATGTCTGCAATGGCCAGAGCTGAGCTGATCTGAAGCCAGGAGCCAGGAGTTTCCTTTGGGTTTCCCCATCGGTACAGGGGCCCAAGGACCTGGGCCATCTTCTACTGCTTTCTCAGGCCATAGCAGAGAACTGGATCAGAAGTGGAGCAGCTGAGTCTCAAACCAGTGCCCATATGGGGTGCTGGCACTGCAGGTGGTGGCTTGACTCGCTATGCCACAGTGCCAGCCCCTATATTTTATAAGAAGGTATTTCAAAAGGTTCATGGGCAATACACATTATCATCTAATTTTATAACCATGAAATTTTGAGTGCTTTTATATAAAGCATTGTTAAAGAACTAAAAATCATTAGGATTATAGAATGTATGTATATTAATTCCACAGAAGAGAAAAATCTACCCAACCTGGACCTCCATATCTGTTCAAGCTGATGTACTAAGACTTTTAAATTGGTATAATGATTGAAAATGTTAGAGATTCCCAAAACAAATGTACCTATTTTTAATCTATTTGATTGTAAGTAAAATATGCAACTTATTTTTTTATTATTTTTAAAATAAAATTGAGGTCCAGCACTGTGAAAATAGTGGGTAAAGACAGCGACTATGGTGCTGGTATCCGATATGATCACCGGTTCATATCCCAGATGGTACAAGTATTTGGGTTCCTGCACCACCTATGTGGGCAGACCAGAAGGAGCTCCTGGCTTCTGGATTTGGTTCAGCCCAGCCCTGGCCATTGTGGCCATTTGGGATGTGAACCAACAAATGGAACCAACATCTCTCTCTTTCTCTCTCTCTCTCTCTCTCCCTCTCTTTCTCTATATTTTTCTATATCTCTATCTCTATTGCTATCTCTATAATTCTTTCAAATAAATTTTCAAAATCTATAAAAATGGGTATAAATATTTTCAACTATTTCCTACAATACAGAAGAATAAAGGACCTTTGAAGAAACATTAAAGAATTCATTTTAACATTGGATAAAATCACCTATTTTTTCTCTTTTTAAAGATACATTGTACTCATTTGAAAGGCAGATTTGCAAGGATGGAGAAACAGTCGAAGAGACTTTCCATCTGCTGCTTCACTCCCCAGATGGCTGCAATGGCCAGAGCTGGGTAAAACCAAAGCCAGGAGAAAGAAGCTTCATCCTGGTCTTCCATGTAGATGGCAGGGACCCAATCATGTGGGTCATTTCAGCTGCTTTCCCAGGCCATTGGCTGGGAGCTGGATAGGAAGTGGAGCATCAGGACCTGAACAGGTGCTGACAAAGGATGCCAGCCAGCATTTCAGATAGGACATAACCTCCTCAGCCACATTGATGAGCTCCTAAAATCACCTATATCTAAAGAGTTGATTTTTATTTATATTGTTTTTATAAAAGACTTATTTGTTTATTTGAAAGTCAAAGTTACAGAGAAGAGGGAAAGACAGAGAGATCTTCCATCATATGGTTCATTCCCCAAATGGCTACAAAGACAGGGATTGGGTTAGGTCAAAGCCAGGAGCTTCTTCCAGGCCTGCCACATGGATGAAGGAGCCCAAGCACTTGGCCAATTCTCTGACGTTTCCCCAGGCCATCATCAAGGAGCTGGATGAGAAGTGTAGCAGCCAGAACTTGAACTGGCACCCATATAGGATTTTATTCTTACAAATGGTGGCTTAAATGCTAGCCTCTCCTTATATTCTTTATGTAATTACTTTTAAAAGTCTCTTTCTAAATAAACAAAAGATATCTCTATTATTTACCAAGGTTATTGTGCAATTTATTAACTGTCTCTATTTATAAGTCAAGCTAACACCAGAATTTGTTAGAAGACCTAAATGGGGGGCAGTGCTATGACGCAACAGGCTAAAGCCCTAGCCTGCAGCACTGGCATCCCTTATGGGCACCAGTTCAAGTCTTGGCTGCTCCTCTTCTGATCCAGCTCTCTGCTATGGCCTGGGAAAGCAGTGGAAGATGACCCAGGTCCTTGGGCCCCTAACCTACATGGGACACCTGAAAGAAGCTCCTGGCTCCTGGCTTGGATCAGTTCAGCTCTGGCCATTGCAGTCATTGGGGAGAGAACCAGTGGAATGGAAGACATCTCTCTCTCTCTCTTGCTCTGGCTCTGGCTCTGGCTCTACCTCTCTCTGTAACTCTGTCGTCAAGTAAGTAAAGCGTATCTTTAAAAAAAGAAACTTAAATGAGTCCTACCCCTTGGGCATAAACTCAGCTAAATCTACAGTGTCTGTCATCTGTCCATAGTAAAACTCAAGTCTGGTACATATCTCTCTTCATGTAGACATTACTGTGTCCTTTAAGAATCAAGAACAGGGGCCAGCATTTGGTGCAGATTAAGCAGCTGCTCACAATGCTGGCATCCCAGATGAACTCAGGTTCAAGTGCCAGTTCTGATCCAGTTCACTACTAATGTGCCTAGGAAAGCAGCAGAACATTGCTGAAGTACTTGGGCACTTCCCACCTATATGGAAGAACTGTTGGAGTTCCATCCTCCTGGTTTTTGCCTGGCCTAATCCCAGCAATGGTAGTCATTTGGGGAGTGAACCAGCAGGTGGAAGATCTCTCTCTCTCTCTCCTTTCCTATCTCACCCTCTCCCTCCTCTGTAAGTCTGACTTTCAGATAAGTAAATAAATAAATCCTTTTAAAAAAAGAAATGAAGAAAGCAGAATAGATTCAAGAAAATAAATATTTTAATAGAGTCCAGAACAGACTATAAATGTGCTACTACTCTACATTTGTCACTGTGATGTGCTGAATAAAAAATAATGTATATTATCACGTACTTATTTGGATGATTGATTACTGGTAATTAGTATTTAGTTTTAAAGAAAAAATTTCAAGTGACAATATTCATCAATAGGAAAAAGTTGAAACAAAGCACTCTCTCTTTTTTTTTTTTTTTTTTTTTACAGGTAGAGTGGACAGTGAGAGAGAGAGACAGAGAGAGAAAGGTCTTCCTTTTCTATTGGTTCAACCCCCAATGGCCACTGCGCCCGCAACCGGGACAGAATCTGGCGCTCCATCCAGGCAACAACCCAGTGTGCTGGCGCCGCAGGTGGAGGATTAGCCTATTGAGCCATGGCGCCAGCCAAAGCACTATCTTAATCTCACAAAGTCATGTGGATAGGAGAAGGCATATCTGATTTTTTCTAATCAGCCTTCCTAAAATTTACAAATATTTTTCTGGTAACAGTGAATTTGGCTCATCATAAAAAGTTCTTTGAAGGCACTTATTAAACTTGTTCCTCTTTGAAAAAGTAAATTTTACTGTGTGATACTGCAAGAGGTAAATTTTTGATTTATAGGAAACTTGAAAACCAATTATGCTTAGTCTCTAATTTCTGATTTACTTATAGAACAGAAATTACACAGATAAATGTTACTTTGTCTAATTTTTTAAAATATTTACTTATTTATTTGATAAGCAATCACAGATAGACAAGGGGAAAGACTGAGAGAGAGGTCTTCCATTTGCTAGTTCACTCCCCAAATGGACACAATGGCCAGAGCTGGACCAACTCAAAGCCAGGAGCTTCTTCACACATGGGTGCAGGGGTCCAAGCACTTGCACCATCTTCCACTGCTTTCCCAGGTCATTAGCACAGAGCTGGATTGGAAGTGGAGCAGCTGAGACATGAACCAGCACCTGTATGGGATACCAGTGCCACAGGCAGAGGCTTAATGATTATGGCACAGCACCAGCCGCCACTTTACCTAAATTTATGGTAAACCCATGAGTTGCACCACAATGCTATTTTCTTTCTCCTTTCCTTCTTTCCTTCCTTCCTTCCTTCCTTCCCTCCCTCCCTCCTTCCTTCCTTCCCTCCTTCCTTCCTTCCTTTCTTATTTTTCTGTGTCATGAATCTTGCATATTGCATCCAAGGACATGGACCAGGGAGAGAGGCTTATGATTACTGTGTGTAAGGACTCTGCTCTTGGGGATCAAAGCATCTGGCAAGGAAACTCTCCTAGATTAAGTTCTCAAGTGCCTCTCTCAATAACAAGCAAGAGAAGGTGTGCTAACTGGAGAGCATCTTTGGTTTAATTAATTCTGGGAGGCCTGAGTGTTGCTGGGGTCCTCATTGAGCTATAATAATGGGTCATGAATCAGTTGAATGTGACTATTCACCACTAGAGGGCTCTGTAGGGTTGATTCAATTTTTACAATCATTGACTTCTGATTCCCCACTGTTGTCTCCAGCTGCTCTTCTGGGGAAGAAAATCTGCTCCACTTGCAGGATACTTAAGTCCAGCATTGGAGGAAGCATAATTGAAAGAGCCCACAGCTGAGATCATGGCACAAAGACACTTGCTTCCATGGGAGAATGACTAAGAATACTGTCTTGGTTGGGATTGGCAAAAGTCATCATGAAGAGGATCAGGGACCTCTGCATCTCCAAGTGTATTTCTACCTCCCAGCTGTGAACCCAGAATAGGGCATCCATTGATTAAACAATGATTCCATACTTCCATGTGGTGCTTCTCTGCTTAACATTGCCTGCTGAATTCTTGTTCCCATATATTTTTACCCAGCATAATTAATTTTCTCACTTCTGCCTGACAATACTCAACAATTTACACACTGTGCTCTACATTTGCACACACTGCCAGCCCTTTCACTTGATGTGCATTATAAACCTGATAAATTGCCCTAATGATTTTTATTACTCCATCATTGTAAAAATGCCAGTATCATGTTCTTTAATAAGTTTGGCATAATACTGAAAGTTGGATGTTTGCCATTGAAGACACTGTATTTTTGCTCACTGGTATTACTTAGATTAGGAGTAGTGATGTCCTCTGGTTATACCTTCAATTTGAACTAAATTCTAAAACATGAATAAAATTGCTGATAATGGAGATGAAGTTAAAGAGATAGAAGACAAAATTGGGCACGCTGATGGTGTGAGTGAGCTGTTTATGGGTGACCTATTTCTTATATAAAACCTGCTGTTGCGGGTTTGCCAAGTTATGTACCACTCAATAACCTTCTTCACGTATCTTTAAAAATTCTGTCCCAAATCTCGTCCCTTAATTTCACTTTCACAGTTACAGAAAATGAAATTTTGAACAAAGCTGCTGATTATGGATTTCAATTATTTGCAGAAAATCTGTCTTGCTAATGTGTGAGTCAGTGATGCTAAAAGATTCCTCTTATCTTTCCCAGCAAGAATCTTTCATTGCCCACACTGCTGCTTGTGCTGTAGAAACTTAGAGTGCTGAAGGTGTAGTCCAAAATGGAGGCTGTCATGATGAAATTATTTTAATATGCATTTTAAATAATCACTGTATTTTTGTGTTGCTATTGACTAACTCACAGTATCATGTTATCCTTTGTTCAGCTGAGCTATATTGCAATCTTCTTTATGGACATGATCATGACTTTTTACCCAGAGATTAGCATTCATTACATATCTCATCTGAATTAGGCAAGTATCAAGGAATGAGGTTGTGTTGGTAAATAATTTAGTTATACTGTGTGTTCTGTGGAATTTAAAGTTTAAAAGAGATAATTTATCATAACCACCTCAAAGGTCCTTTGGTACATCTTTCTGAATCACTTATGGATGAGAACTCCTTTGAAAGAAGAAATGAAGTAGCTGACACATGGAGCCACTACCTGTAATGCCAGCATCTCATGTGAGCACTGGTTTGAGTCCCAGCTGCTCCATTATGACCCATCTCCCTATTACTGCATCTATTTGGGGAATGAACCAGCAGATGGAAGATCTCTCTCTCCCTGCAACCTTCTCTCTGTATCTCTGCCTTTCAAACAAATACTGTAAATCTTATTTTAAAAGAGCTTCGGGTCCAGCACAGTGGCATAGTGGGCTAAGCCTCTGCCTGTGGTGCCAGTTTGAGTTCCAGCTGTTTTTCCAATCCAGCTCTCTGCTTTGGCCTGGAAAAGCAGTAGAAGATGGCCCAAATGCTTGCGCTCCTGTACCCATGTGGGGGAGAAGAGTGAAGTTCCAGGCTTCTGGCTCCTGGCTTCAGATCAACCCAGCTCAGTCTGTTGTGTCTACTGAGAAGTAAACCAGTGGATAGAAGATTTTTCTCTCTGTCTCTTCCTTTGTCCGTAACTCTGCCTCTCAAATAAAATAATAAGTTTTTTTTATAAAAAACAGAGTTTAATCTCACATTTGGAACATCTAATAATTTTGGATGGGTTGAGAAGAAACTTGTAAAATCTGTGATACAACTGGGAGCCTTCTGAGTCCTAGCATGTAAGAAGAGAATAGCGAGCAGACAGCTGATAGCCAAGACTTAAGAGGGTACAACCCATAGCATTGTCTTTCTGAAGATCACAGTAAGTCCTATGGTCCCTGTTCACAGGTCAGTGGGAAACCATCCACACAGTTGAAAGAGTGTGACTTGATGAGATTTTTGTTTGTAAAATGGCCTTAATACTTAAGAACATCTCCAGAGAAAACATAGAAGAGTACTGCTGGATGGTAAATATTCATTAATAGTAACAAGATTTGATGAAAGAAATGGCACCTTTAAGGGAAATGTAATTCAGGGAAGGGAGATAAGAATTAGTGAATCTTTTCTCCTAGGAGGGTACTTACACTAACTGCCCTAATTTGGTGTGTTGAAGAGGATTCCATTAGGATCTGGAATAACTTGAGCATCAGAACACATAATCTCAGACTATAATACCTTTAACAAGATAAGAATCTATGAACTCATAATGATATAGTACATAATGACACACTAACTAGGACAGAAGAGTGAGCCCTTTGCTTTGATGCTAGATCAAAATATAAATGGAGAAACAATATTGGGAATTAAAACACCAGCATTTCATATAGTATTGGTGATTAAAAATACTATTAAAGGCAGTGGATGAAAATTTGATAGGAAATAGGATACTGGCATAATATTAGAATAATTTTTAATAAAAGTCCACACATTCCAAAGAGGAATAAAAATGTGTATATAGCACAGCATATATGAATGCTGTGGTGCAGCAAGTTTTGCCACTGCCTGCCACACCAGCATTCCACATCAGAGTGCTGTGGTGCTGCCTCAAGTTCCAGCTTCTCTGCTATTGATCAAGCATAACGTGAACGTACCTGGGAAGCTTCAGAACATGGCCCAAGTGCTTGGGCCCTGCCACCCATGTGGAAGACCAGGAAACAGTCGTTCATCCTAGCTTCAGCTTGACAAAGAACTTAACATTGCAACTCTTTGGAAATGAATGAGCAGAGACAGAGAGAGACAGAGAGAGAGAGATCCAGCTCTCTGCTATGGCCTGGGAAAGCAGTAGAAGATGGCCCAAGTGCTTGGACCTCTGCACCTGCATGGGAGACCCAGAAGAAGTTCTTGGCTCCTGGCTTTGGATTGATGCAGCTCTGGCTGTTGCAGCCAATTGGGGAGCTAACCAGAAGACAGGAGACCTGTCTCTCTCTCTCTCACTGCCTCTCTTTCTCTCAAATAAATAAATCTTTTAAAAGATATAGATGTAGACATAGATATAGATATAGATCACTCATTGTAATTCTGCATTCAAAATGGATAAATAAATCCTTAAAAAGTTGTATGTGAACCAATCTGGCAGAAATTCACTAAGTACCAAGTTAATAGCATCCATCATGGAGCAGATGGGAGACTGAGCAGAGCCCAGCATCAGACCAGGGTGTTTCTGATGAGAATACAGGGCCCACATTTTTTCAGAAAGGAACACTGGAGGGACCCAGCTTGAGTCATCTCTGCTCTTGATTTCTATTAAGTGTTTTCATTTTAGAATTTCATATTAGAATTCCAGAAAAATAACATTGAATCACAATGGCAGAAGAGATATTTTAACATGGTTGGAAAAAGATGTGATAGTTCTGTGGATTGGGTTGTGGTGTTGGATTAATGTTGGTTTCTTAAATTTGGGTTCATATGCTATTTATCAGGGGACCACCCTATAGTTCGCAGAAACATCTTGGGTCAGGGGCAAAAGTGCTAAAAGGATACTGACTGGGCATTCTCAATGAATGGGACTCACTCATGGTATTTCTGTAAGTTTGAAATAACTTCAAAATTAACTACTGTTAAAATGACCAAATTTTAAGATGACAATTTCCACATCATGTTAGTAAAACAGGGACAGCATCAAATACTATAAAGGCTAAACCTTACCCAATTCCCATTAGGCCAAAGTTATAAAACTGGACCCCCTCTAAGCATCTACATGCCTGTATGGAGACTGCAGAAATAATACAATATTCACAATGTGTTTCCTGTTCTGAATACATTTGTGATAGTTTTGAAACAGCTTGATCTTTTTATTTTAAAGATTTTGAGAACTCTCTTCATCTTTAAAAATAATTATTTTATTTTTGTACTTAAAAAGTAGACATAAGGGTATATCTTAAATCTGTTGGTTCACTCCCCAACTTTATGCCACAGCTGGGGCAGGACCAAGTCCAAATCAGCAACCTGAAACACAATCTGGGTCTCTACAAGGGTGGCACGGACTCAACTCCTTTAACCCTCATCACCATCTCTCAGAATGCACACCAACATGAAGCTGGGACCAGAAGAAAATCTGGGAGTTTTCCCAGGCTCTCTGACGTGGGATGCAGGCATCCCAATCAGTGGTCCAACCATTATGTCAAATGGCCACTCCTTCATTTTTAATTTAGTTTTTATTTGGGAGTCAGAGAGACTGAGAAAGACAAGCAGCAGAAATCACTCATCTGTTGGCTTACTACACAATGCCCACCACATCAGGACTGAATTAGATGAAAGACAGGAGCCAGGAGCTTCGTCCAGGTCTTCCATATGGTTGACAGAAATGGTTGGGCATTATTCACTGCCTTCTCCACAGACTAGCAAAAATCTAGAATGGAAGAGGAGTTGCCAGGACTCAAAGCTGCACTCCGGTATGAGATGCCAATGTCAGAAGAGCAGCTTGACCTATTGAATCACATGCTAGTCCCTGCATCAGTTCAAACCAGTGCACTCACCCTACCCTGTATATATTCAAAGAATGCAAAGCTGGGCATCCCCTCCCTTTCCTTATTATTATTATATTAGTTCCTCAGCAGAACCATGGTTCAGCTTAAACTGAGAGAACAGCAGCTCTGATTAGTACAGTAATATGCTTTTTGGGTTTTGGACACTTTTTTTTAAGATTTATTTATTTATTTATTTGAAAGAGTTACACAGAGAGAGGTGAGATGAGAGAGAAAGAGTTCATCCATCCACTGGTTGACTCCTCAAATGGCTGCAATGGCCAGCGCTGTACCAATCTGAAGCCAGGATCCAGGAGCTTCTTCTGGGTCTCCCACATGGGTGCAGGGGCCCAAGGACTTGGGCCATCTTCTTGCTGCCATAGCAGGCCATAGTAGAGAGCTGATTTCTATGCCACAGGTCCAGACCCTGGACACTTTTTTGAAGGTTGAGTAACTGATTTTGGCAATGACAGAAAGTTTCTTTTACAATGACTTCGATGGGGCTGGTGCTGTAGTGTAACAGTTAAAGCTGATGCCTGGAGTG